GGGACAACGGGGTCTCCAGGGACTCTGGGGACATCGGGGTCTCCAGGGCTACCAAGGCCACCGGGGACATCGGGGTCACCAGGGCCACCAGGGACATTGGGGTCACCAGGGACATTGGGGACAATGGGGTCTCCAGGGCTACCAAGGCCACCGGGGACATCAGGGCCACCAGGGCCACCATGGACATCGGAGTCACCAGGGACATTGGGGACATCGGGGTCTCCAGGGCTACCAAGGCCACCGGGGACATCAGGGCCACCAGGGTCACCAGGGCCACTGAGGCCACCACGGACACTGAGGTCACGAGGGCCACTGAGGCCATCAGGGCCACCGGAGCCACTGGGGACACCAGGGCCATCAGGTTCACCGGGGACACCAGGGCCATCGAGGCCATCAGGGCCACTGGGGACATCGGGGACACCAAGGCCACCAGGGCCACTGAGGCCACCAGAGCCACCGGGGACACCAGGGCCATCGGGATCACCAAGGCCACCAGGTGCCACCAGCCACCTGTCACACCAGTGCCCCCAGTCACCCCCTGATAGCCCCCAGTAACCCCCAGTCCCACCAGTACCAGCCACCCGGGGGGACCCAAGGGAGCTGGCGGGGGGATTCGGGGCCCAAAGCGGGGATCCGGGTGCCCCCCAAGCACTGAGGGGCCCAGGTGTCCGGGCCCCCCTCGGGGTGCAGCCGGAGCACCCATGGGTGCAGCCAGGGCACCGCGGAGCCCCGTTTCGGCCCCAAACCCGGGGGATTCGGGGCCGCCGGAGCGCGCAGAGGGACCAGGACCCCCCCGAGCACTGAGGGGCCCAGGCATCCGGGCCCCCCTTAGGTGCAGCCGGAGCACCCATGGGTGCAGCCAGGGCAACACAGAGCCCCGTTTCGGGTCCAAACCCGGGGGATTCGGGGCCCAAAGTGGGGACCTGGGTCCCCCCCCAAGCACTGCGGGGCCCAGGCGTCCGGGCCCCCCTCGGGGTGCAGCCAGAGCACCCATGGGTGCAGCCAGGGCGCCGCGGAGCGCCGT